CCCCCGGCAGTACTCTGGCCCAATCCGGGGCCAGTCTCCTAGCCCATATCCGGGAAACTAAGGGCAGAAACCGATGGAGGTGCGGTTGCTGTGCCATGAACTACTGAAGATCCTCCGACGACGACGACGCCGCGACGGAGCTTTCCGAACACAACGCCAACCAGGCAAAGCCCTGACGGCGAAACCTCACTTACCGAAGGTGACCTGACGACTCAACATGGAAGCAGCGGAAGAAGTCGACGCAGCCGTGACCCGACGCCACGCCCTAACTGTAATGCGAGACGGCGAACTAGCGACCTGGACTTTCTTATCGATGGCCACAGTGTGACCGCTCTCGTCGATCAGTGGGTCGTTCGCCGCGAAGTTAAAGAAAGTTAGGACAGCTTGGGAAGGCCCTGAAACCCACACAGCCGAAGGTCATCTCGTAACGCCTGCAGGAATCTGCACAGCGAGAGTCTCCATTAACGGCCGTATTTATCCTACAGACTTCGTAGTCCAACTGCGTTGCTCGAGAGATGTCATCCTTGGCATGGACTTCTTATGCTTCCATGGTGCTGTCATCAACCTAAAAACAAAGTCGATAACGTTATCCACAGAAGAAGCACTACCGCCGCGCACGCCGTCAGGAAACCATGCCTTGAATGTGCTGGAAGAAGAAGTCATCATTCCGCTTCGCTGAAGCGTCATTATTTCAGTCAGTGCTCCTAAATCACCTGACTTAGAAGGCGTCGTTGAAGGCAGTCAGCATCTGTTGGTCACCCGAAATATTTGCGTCGCAAGAGGAATTGCAGAGCCGCGGGGAGGCAAAGCAACGGTTATGCTCACGAATTTCAGCAATGAGTACAAACATGCGAACAAAGGAACAACGGTCGCATACATCGAAGGAATTGTTGAAGCCACCAGTGATTTCGCCCTCTGCGGAACTTGCTCAGAGGAACCAAGCCCCTCCCTTAGCTTTCGATGTCAATCCCAGACTTCCGAGCCATAAGCAAGAACAGCTCAAGGCCCTGCTCCTGCAATACGAAGATTGCTTTTCGTCGTCATCGAAAATTCGGCAGACCCTAATCACGAAACATCGCATCATAACCGAAGAAAATGCCAGACCACTCCGTCAGAGTCCATACAGGGTTTCGACACGAAAACGTGAGGCCATGAAGAGACAAGTTGATGAGATGCTGCGGGATGACATTATCCAGCCGTCCAAGAGTCTATGGGCATCCCCCGTGGTGTTAGTGAAGAAAAAGGATGGGAGCCTACGTTTCTGCGTTGATTATCGCTGCCTGAACAAAATCACAAGAAAGGACGTGTATCTTCTCCCACGAATAGACGACGCACTTTATCGGCTCCATAACGCCAAGTACTTTTCGTCAATGAACCTCAAGACTGCTATTGGCAAATCGAAGTCGACGAAAGAGACCGAGAGAAGACGGCGTTTATAACACCGGACGGCCTCTTCGAGTTTAAGGTGATGCCCTTCGGTCTTTGCTCAGTGCCTGCAACTTTTGAACGCGTTATGGATACAGTACTGGCAGGATTGAAGGAGCAGACTTGCCTTGTGTTTTTGGACGACGTCGTCGTGTTTTCCTCGAGTTTCGATGAGCATCTTCAGCGCCTTGAAGCTGTACTTCAAGCCATCAAGATGTCCGGACTCACACTGAAGCCAAAAAAGTGCAGCTTTGCGTACGAGGAGCTCTTGTTTCTGGGGCACGTTATTAGCAAGTCTGGAGTTCGTCCCGATTCACGGAAAAGAGCTGCCATAGCCGACTTCCCACCGCCCACTGACAAGAAGGCGGTGCGCCGATTTCTGGGCCGGTGCGCCTATTATAGGTGGTTCGTAAAAAACTTCACCCACATCGCCGATCCTCTCACTAACCTTACTAAGGCCGCCGTGGAGTTCAAGTGGGAAACGCCGCAGGAACACGCTTTCCAGGAGCTTAAACATCGCCTACAGATGCCTCCGTTACTTGCCCATTTCGACGAATTCGCCGAAACAGAAATACACACTGACGCAACCAGCGTAGATCTTGGCGCCGTTCTTGTGCAGAGGGCTCACGGACTTGAAAGGGTTATTAGTTACGCCAGCCGATCGCTATCCAAAGCAGAAGCCAATTATTCCACAACAGAAAAGGAGTGCCTCGCCATCATCTGGGCTGCGTCGAAATTTTGCCCCTACCTCTACGGCAGGCCCTTCAAAGTTGTGAGCGACCACCCCGCCTTGTGTTGGCTAGCCACCTTGAAGGACCCTCCAGGTCGCCTCGCACGATGGAGCCTGAGACTTCAAGAATATGACATTACTGTCATTTACAAGTCCGGCAAGAAACACTCCGACGCCGACTGTATCTCTCGTGTGCCTGTCGACCAACCACCACCCGACGACCCGGATGACGACTACTTCTTGGGAACGATAACTACCGACGACTTCGCTGAACGACAGCGGGCCGACCCGGAACTTAAGGCCCTAATAGAATACCTCGAAGGCAGGACCGCCGAAGTCCCGAAGGTATTCAAGCGTGCACTTGCGTCGTTCTTCCTGCGAAACGGTCTTCTCCAAAAGAAAAACTTTTCACCGCTCCGAGCCAAGTACCTCCTTGTGGTGCCTTCAGCTCTGCGACCAGAACGCCTGCAGGCCCTGCACGACGATCCGACGGCAGGGCACCTCGGTGTTTCTCGCACGCTCTAGAGGATACAAGAAAGGTACTACTGGCTGCGTCTTACCACCGACGTCACTCGTTATGTGAAGACATGCCGGGACTGTCAGCGACGCAAGACACCAACGACAAGGCTAGCGGGACTTCTGCAGCCAATTGAACCACCTTGCCGACCTTTACAGAAGGTTGGTATGGACCTACTGGGGCCGTTCCCGAAGTCGTATTTCGGAAACAAGTGGATCGTGGTAGCTACCGACTACCTCACACACTACGCCGAGACAAAAGCCCTTCCCAAAGGCAGTTCATCCGAGGTAGCTAAGTGCTTCGCCGAAAATATTGTCCTACGTCGTGGCGCTCAGGAGGTCGTTATCACCGACCGAGGAACTGCATTTACTGCCGACTTAACTCAAGCGATCTTGGCATACAGCCAGACAAACCACCGCCGGACAAACCACCGCTGGGTGGTAGGCATACAGCCTACCACCCACAGACCAACGGCCTCACCGAGCGGCTTAACAAGACGATTGCCGACATGCTGACAATGTACGTCGATGTCGAACGATGACGTGGGACGCCATTCTTCCGTACGTGACCTTCGCATACATCACGGCGGTGCAGGAGACGACGCAGATATCTCCATACAAATTGGTCTATGGAAGGAGCCCGGCAACGACACTCGATGCCATGTTACTCAACGTCACCGACGAAGAAAACCTCGATGTGAGTGAGTACCTTCAACGCGCCGAAGAAGCCCGACATCTCGTGCGTCCCCGTATCAAGAATACGTGGTGGTCTAGTGGCTAAGGTACTCGGCTGTGGACTCGCAGGTCGCGGTATTGAATCACAGCTGTGGCGGTTGCCTTTTTGATAGAGATTAAGATGTTGTCAGCCCGTGTGCTCAGATTTGGGTGCACGTTAGAAAATACCCGGTGGTCGAAACTTCCGGAGCCCTCCACTACGGCGTCTCTGATGATAATATGGTGGTTTGGAACGTTAAATTCGACATATCAATCAAATCAAACATATTAGCTGAAATACACGCATTAAAATAATATGGTTTTTGCCTTGCCATCTGTCTCTGCAATGGCGAAACACAAAACGCGCAAAAATGTTTAGTAGTAGCGATGGATGGTGCAAGGTTCTTTCTAGTGTAAATTTCCCTGGAAAGAGTATAACATTTCATTAATAGCTACATTATGGTTAACTATATTGAATGTCTGTAGGCGAAAATGCGCGACATGTAACGTTAACCAAAAGTGTCTTCCATAATTTTTTTGTCACGCTGTGGATGGAGAAGCTTCAGTTGCACAGAATAACAGAGCTGCATCTCTTTGGTGCGTGTTCATTCTAAAAGACAGGGCGTGTGAAGACGGACCAAAGAAGGAAGAGCAGAAAATCACAAACGCCTACTAACACCTTAATATGCCCACAAAGACGGAAAATAAAGAATACACAAAAACTTATCTGCGCATGTCCATGCAATATGCGAACGAACTTGTAAATCTGGCACACGCGGTGGTATACCTAAAAGATAACTTTTAAGGTATCTGATTTCAACTTTATGCAAGTTAATTGAGAGTTGGCTCACGCATGCGCTGCCACCATTATCAATATACTATGTCTCAATCATCAGACGCGTTTCTGCATTCCCATGCCGGTAGAAAACTGCGCATTGATAGGATTTCGGCGTGAAGTTACACTCTCGATAATGTGAAGAATGACTGGACTTTCGAAATTGGGCGCATATTTGTGTATATATTTTGTGCAAACGGAAGGCTTAAAGCACGCTTGAGTATATAACTGAGGCACCATGAAATTCAATATATCGCTTTCATTTTCACTCATATCATTGGTGTCAAGTAGAGTAGAATCCACTTCACTGATTGCCAGACATGCGCGTAGGCCCAATCGAGTGACGCAGTTCATACAACTCAGTAAGTATGCTGTCGCTTTTAAATAGTGCATTGAAGTACTACATACAGTGGCTAATAACTACAGCAGTGGCGTTCACTGGGCTAGATAGAAGAGCTGAAAATATTTAAAAATCGCATAAAGTTCAGAAGCAAGGTTTTCATTGCATATGCTATCGTATGGCAAGAGTTATCATCCCACTTCTAGGCCGGCCATCTGCGTTCTTTTTGGCACATACTCTGTGGAAGATCTTGTGGTGGGTGACCTCCGAGATTCACTTACTATCTTGAGCAAGTTGCGAGATCAGAGCCAGAAGCGGTGTCTCCTATCACAGGGTGTCACTTTTCTTTTCGCGAAAGAGAGAGAGTCTGTCTAAGAAGAGTTGCTCTGACTGGATATCATTTTCCAGGGTGCTTTATCAAAATGTTTTTAGGAGTCCACGAGCAGTCATTGGCGCTCACTCTGCAGGAGGACGACAGAGAACTCACATCAGTCCCACAGTTTCCTGCACGTGAAAGCCATGCTCTCTCTCGGGCGGGTGGTCCTTTGGGCTCTGTTGGTGTGCGTCGTTGCTGCCACGCCGGTGTGCATTGAGTCCGGGACATCACGAGTCACGTACACCTGCTCTGGCTTCACGAGCCATGCCCACTTCGATGAGTTCCTTCGTCGCGAATTCACGCCGGATCGCTACTCGCGCGTTCAGTTTCTTCTCCACGACAGCAATCTCGACTATTTACCGCCAAGAGCATTCGATGGTACAATGGCTTCGGTAGTCGAGTTTCGTAATGTCCGAGTGCACGGCCACACTCCGACGTCCGACGACCACCCATTCACCGGCGTGACATCGTGGCTCAAGAAGGTGATTTTCAGCGATGGCAGCACGGTGCCACCATCTTGGGGACTATTAGCTCCACTGACAAAGCTCGAAGAAGTTATCCTCTTGAACATGCACTACGTGAACCTCTCCAACAGCTTTAATGAACTCCCGAAGAGCGTAAAACGTGTGCGCGTCCTCAACTCTACAATCCTCGGCGTAGATCCTCATTGGCTTGCAGGTCTGGAAAACCTCGAGGAGCTCCACGTCGAGAACAGCAACATCAACTTTTTTTCTAGCACAATGCTGCCTAGGCCAGCCCACAACCTCACTTCATTGACGCTCAGGTACAAATACACCACAATGGTGTTTCGTTGCATGAATTAGAATTCAGTGAGCACATATAAAAAATACAATTACGTGGACGTCACAAGCTCTCTACTTTTATTTTTGCGACAGCCTGAATGTTTGAATGAGGTAGTGCGTAGTGTTGGAATTGTCAATGGAAGCGATGCAGGAAAGTAACACACATATTGTGCTGTTTCTTTTTTGCGTTGTTTTAATTGACAAGGCATAGTCTTCTATCACCATGTGCGCATTGGATTTAAGAATTAGAGTGCTTTTTACAGTTGCGAAAATTCATTGGAATATAAAACGAATAACCTAGTTGAGGCAAGGGGCGATTGACGAAAAAAAAAGCATTCCTCCTGTATGACATTGCTCTCAAGCAATTGGTTTAGGTGCTCTAAACCTCCCGTTTTTCCGCAATTAATATATACCCGAACTTCTAATATATGTTTAGCAGATGGCAACAGCTTTGAAGCAATGGTGCACTCAACACTAAATCAATTTAATTTAACCTTAGGCTTTGGATCTCCGGGGATGACCACATTTTGCATAATTTTCCAGTTTATTGTATGTGCATTATAGTTGTGCTTGGCTTAGTCGTCGCAGTACGCATTATCAAGTGATACTAAGTGAGGCCACCATCTGGGCCTCCTAAGTGACCATTCACCGCCATCAGCAGTTGGAGGGAGGCGTTAACAGTAACTCGACTCTGTTCTGGATATTTTCTTCAAGCCATGAGGAACCACTGTGGGTATTGCAATTATGCGTAGTAACCAGATATTGAGTTCTCATACAGAATTAAACAATTTCGCTTTTCTTTATTTTCTCTGTCAGTGAAGATTCAGGAACTCCATTAAAACTATTGCCATGCTTTTTAGTACGCCAAGCATGACTACATGTGAACAGACTGCTTCTCAGTCAATCCAGTCAGACAGTTATGACGCTCATAACTACCAAAACAATCCTGACATGACCTAGCACGTTCCAAATAAAGTGTGACATCACCCACATCTATAGAAAACTAGCCAAGACGTCAATTGAATGAATAAAAGTAAAATGTCATAGAAGAGTATTGTAACTGGCGCATATTATATGCCCCACGCGAAAGAGTAGAAGAAGCGTTGTGACCCACGAAGCTTCTATTGACACGTCGCGTGATGGAACGGACGGAGAAAATTTCAAAACTTTACAACCTTACGGAGACAGCTGAGGATCACAACAGGGACACGGGCTTGACCAGGAACCAGTGACGAGCTTTATACAATGTTACAGCAATACCGTCCGCGGCTCGCAATGAGAGCCACGTTGCTACTGCGGACCATGGCCTTTGTGTTCAGCTCTAGTGAGCTGGCGAGGTTCGATCTGTTGTCATATAATTTATAACTTGATTCTGTGTCGTTAACATAGTTTATCGGGAAAACTTTCTCGGAAGTACTAAGGTTGTTCAGTGCTGAAACTGTGGGTTTTGCGATTAAATAATTCAGGGTTCTGTTGCACGAGAAGAGCAATATAGCAAGCAAAAATGTATAACCCAACTAGTCTTGAGTTTCCTTGCAGCTGCTTGGTCACATGAGCCAGAGAGCTGGAGGTCTAGTGCAGCATCTGGCAGCAAGAGTGCCATGCCACATACTGATACAGTTGAACCCGGCCATATCAAACTCGTGTAAAGCAAATTATTTTTTGTATCAAACTATAATTTAACATGGTAATCCTTTAACGTCAATTGATAGTAAGATATACATACGGCTACATTGTACGAAAAGAGCCGCACACTTGGTACACAGTATACATCGGGCAGCAGGAAACGCCCCAAGAAGTTGGCTTTGCCTCAAAAAGGTTAAACTTTGAAGTAGGGCTTTCACGCGTGCACTTCGGAGCTATAATAAGCGGTTTGATTAAGAGGGCACTGTGCGAGCCAGAAAGTAGCTATCGTTTGCCATCGTGTTCTTTCCTAAATTGTTCCTCGAGTACTGGTCACAGTCGCGCAGTTTATCCCATAATTTCTCGTCGTCTCGTATAGTTGGGCCGTCTAGCGTCTAGCGTGGTCGCCGTCCGCGTTTCCGCTCGTTTTACAGCGAAACCTGTTAAAAGATCACAACATGGGTCACGCGCAACGCCGTTGTTGCCCGCCGCCGCCGATGTCCGTAACTATACGATCGCACACACACACAAAAACAAAGTAAGTAAAAAGCGCAGCACAGTCACAACGAAATCGAGAAAAGCGTCCTTTCAGAGCTTTTTCTGAAGCTTCATTGAGTAACTGCTATAAGCACACTTGCTTGGTACCCTGCGGCATCAATAATAAGTATAATTTCTGTGTTGTAGACCAGCATTCACATTGCCATTTTTTGTCATTCTTCTGAGAAGCGATGTATCCACTAAACAGTTGCAAGGAATTTTGTGCCAATTGTTCATGCAGTGGCTGACAACGATGAGGAATTACGCCTGACGTGGGTATGCGCCACAGTTAAAAGGTGTTAAAGAACAACCTTTTTTAATGGGTTGGAACATTGGATGACCCACTCGTTACGCTATTCGCATTTTTTTCTTACATGGTATACAATAGAAATGTGGCGTACGTGTATATATAGCGTACAACATACCTAGGGTCAAGTAAAAAAAATGTACAATTGATGTTACAAATTAAATCTCATACAACGAAATTCCGAAGGAGTATTTGAGTAAGTAGCACATTTTGTGAACTCAGCATACCAGTCTGGCTGAAATTGCAGTCAGTAAGACAGGTCCCTTAGCCGCTCAGTCATTTGCACAAAGTGGCTTCGCGAAGACACCATTGGTTCCATATGCCTGTCCAACATGCGAGTTTTCCTCAAACTATGCAAGCCTATTAACAACAGCATGTCAACTGGCATTTCGTTGCATTCGGCTGGTACAAGATAACGGATGCTATGGGAATTTAAATCCAGATGTTTTTTAAAAGCCCTCTGCAGGACGTCCCAGAAAAATATGACGTCCTTAAAACTAATAAAGCAATGTTCGATTGTTTCTGGAACTTCACAGAAGCGGCAGTTAATTGAGGATGCAAATATGCCTTTGGCGTTTAAACAGGTTTTTACATTGTATTTGTATGTACTTTGTAAAAAAATCTCTTGGTTATTGGTGAAATAGGCATTTTCGTTACACATGATAGCACGTCATGACCAGAAAATCCAATATATAGTGAGCGGTAAAGTGGGGTCGGAAAGAGCGCTTCCAACACAGCATATTATAGGTCTTTTCTTGAGCTAAAGAACAACTACTCATTAGAAAATCTGGCTGTAAGGAAATGCACTGATTCGAATACTTCACGCATGAACTCTTGCAGGTAGGGAGGCGATGCAACATTAGTAGATACCACTAAATTTTGTAAAACATCTGAAAAATTCACTCGAAAGAATGTTCGAATCAGTGGATAAGCACAGTTACAAAAATAGGAAAAGCGCCACACGAGTTTTCTGATAAAGAGGTGTACCAACCCATGACCACCTGCGCAGGCAGGTCTAAAAACATTATCTCACCTCATCGGTTCATAGGTTGAGGACGAAATAAAGGTAGCAAATATACGTTGAAATTTCTGTATGTAAACCCTGAACGACAAATTATTTGCAGACGTAGATTATTTTTGTTGCCAACAACAGATTGAATGCTTTAGCTAGGCCGAAGATAGAGAGGCCATGAGGAATACACGTCTGGGCACAGCGCTTTAGGGTGGGTACACGTTCTTTCCAATAATTTGCACTTGATCAATATGCATCTAATGGAACGCCTAGGTATTTTCATGGAACACATGACCATTCTGTACCTTGAAAATGGGTTGGTTGATTTGTACTTGTGCCAAACCACAGTCCCAAGCTTTTAGCAAAGTTCAATCATGCCCCTGGAATTTTTCCGAATTCTCCAATTGTTGACACCACCATTTTTATACTAGAAAGATCTGTGCAAAAGAACGCTAGGTCATCAGCATACGCCAATACTTTTACCTCATTTCCATAAGCATTGAAACCGTGGACGTTACTAGATCGAATTACACTTAAGCACAGTGGCTCCAAGTAAAGGGCAAAAAGCATTGGCGACAACAGACAGACAGCCCTGTTTCCCAAACGAGTTAAGAAACACGGGTTTTGAAAAATAGCCATTAACAAATAAGCGGGTAGAACATTCATTGTAGCACGATTTTACACCTTTAAGTATAGTAGAGCCAACGTTGGCATGTTCGAGAAGCGAAAAAGAAAAGAATGGCGAACCCGATCAAAGGCTTTCGCTAAGTCTACTTGTAGTATTGCCAGTTGTTCATATGCGTGTGAACAATGTTCCATTACTGTGCGAGCAATGTGTACATTAGTTTGTATTGAGCGACCTTTTAGACCGCACGTCTGATGGGCACCAATGAGTATTGACATTGCAAATGGAAGCCTGTTTGAAAGTACCTTTGCAAAAATTTCGTGATCAACGTTGCACAGTGTAATTGGTCTGTAGCCATCAACGTGACAAAGCTTTTCTATATCTGAGCATTTTGTAATTAGAACAGTGTGACTTTTAGTAAAAAAGTGGGGAAGCGTCTCCAGATTCAAGCTCAGCGTGAAAATGTGGAACGCCTTGTTGTTATAAAACGCTTTTATACTCATAATAACGCGATTCCTTCCCCGATATCAAGCCTGCCTAAAACAAGTTTGCGACGAAGTCCTAAGCACTGGCGTTGCTCCGTGGTAGAATACTGGGATGGCATGCAGCGTACCCGAGTTCGAGCCCCACTGTGTCCTTGGCAATAGTTTGTTTTTATTTCGCGGTAGTGGTTACGGACACAGGCGGTGGCGGCAGTGTTGGCGGCAGCGGAAAACTACGGCGCCGCCTGAGACCCGATTTTCGATATTTCGCTGTAAAAAGACACATAGGACATAGTTGGAGTAGAGCCCGGTTCCACTGCGTACCTGTCAAGCATTCCACCACTGAACCACGCTGGAGCTTGGAACTCTTGCGCAAACTTGCCCTAGGCAGGCTTGACGTCGGGAAAGGAGTCGCGTTATTATGAGCAATAAGGTGTTTTAGAATGGCAAAGGAAGAGCCAGGCGTCAGACAATGCGAATTGCGTAACGAGTGGGTCGTCCAATGCTCCAATCTATTACAAAAGATCGTTCTTCATCACCTATTAACTGTTGCACATACCCACTTCAGGCGTAATTCTTCATCGTCGTCATCCACAGCCTGAAACACAAAGTTGTTGCTAGTGTTTAACGAATACTACGCTTCTCCAAAGAATGACGGAGGATAGCATAGTGAATGCCGGCCTACTGCACAGAAATCACGACTATTTATGGCGTAGTGGGTATCCGGAGAGTGTGCTTATAGCATTTACCCTAAGAATGTTTAGAAAAGGCTCCTAGAGATCGCTCTTCAAGCTTTAATTGTGACTGTGCTGCGCGTTTCACGCAGGCCCGGCGATTTTGGCTAAGAAGATGAATGACATAAAGCAGAAAAAGCTGCAAGAGCCAATGCCGTCGAACAAAGCCTAATGTCGCCGCTGTGGACACCCGACCAAGATATTTCAAAACAACGTCGACATTAGGGCCAAAGCGAAATATAGATGCTTTCTGCACCGAAGAGTATGCCCATCTGCGTAAGAGTATCTTGAGACGCTGCTCATATCAACAACATGTTTTCTTGCACATTACCCACTCCTGCATGTAAGCCTGCATACTCTACAAATCACGGAAATATACGAAGGTGAAAAAAAAAAGAAGCCTATAGTACCTTGAATGTGTCTTCCTTACGATAAGGTCTTAGTGCCATGAAGCCAATTGTGCCCCGAAATTCGCATTGAAAGCACGCTAACTTCAATAATTGCTGTACATTCAATTATCCGAAATATTAAACTATTAACCCCCCTCCTTTATTTTTAGAGGCCGATATATGCGGGTACGACTGTATAATTTTTACTCCCGTGACACTTGTTGCTCAGCGTGTGCAGTAATGCAGTTCCTTTCTGCGGCTGTGCGCCGCGTCGCATATTACAGGAATGCCAACTTGACATCTCTGCCTGTGGACCTGACAGATGAGGCGCCCCTGCTGACTACGCTAAACCTTCAGCACAACGCCATTAAAAACTTTGAAGCGGAAAGTTTCACTCCTCTGCTCGCACGGAGTACCGATGCAGCAGCCTTCTTGGATGGTGAGGAGACCTTGGGTTTTACAACTCCTTCTTTGATATAAAGTTGGTGAGCGCAGAGTGCATGGACGTAGATAAGATTGAAGATAAGGAAGGGAGTCGTGAATAAATTCATAAGAGAAGGATTGAAGATAAAAAAGGATTTTCAGAATACATTCACAAAAAACTGAAAAATTATGTCAGTACCCCACGACAGCGAGTTACCTTACAAAAGTAATAATTCACAGTAAAATCAACTTAATTATTCAAGACAAATATTCAGGCAAAACTTGTGAACCATTCGCATGATTGCGCAAGACTTGTTTAATAGCAACACACACACAAATCACAGCCCATCCACGGAGTGAATTAAGAGTGGGGCGATGCTTCGGGGGTTTTTACCGGTGAACCGTAAACCGTAAACCGTCCGTCCGTCCGTCCGTCCGTCCGTCCGTCCGTCCGTCCGTCCGTCCGTCCGTCCGACTGTCTGTCTGTTTGTCTGTCTGTCTGTCTGTCTGTCTGTCTGTCTGTCTGTCTGTCCGACTGTCTGTCTGTCTGTCTGTCTGTCTGTCTGTCTGTCTGTCTGTCTGTCTGTCTGTCTGTCTGTCTGTCTGTCTGTCTGTCTGTCTGTCTGTCTGTTTTCACCTGTTGAGTGAGTCATCTAACTATGCGGTCACGTACGAGCTAGGAGGGACAGACCCATGGCTGTAGGAGCTTTGCCCCGAAAATCATGTTTACTCGCCAATCATGCAGTATCCACGGAAATAATAGCTGCTGAAGTTTTACTGCCCACCCACCTTCAGCAAATATTTTTGAACATACCCAAAGAAAATATTGCATATTAGTTTGACAGCTCAAGCAAAAGCGTTGCCATCTTCCTGTGTAACAGTAATGTCAGCAAACTTAATGTTGTAGGAATCGCATAATTTTTCATAATGCGGTTTTGATTATACTCCTACAGGGACGCTAAGAAATTTGTCTTAGGTAATAACACAGGTCATTGGAGTTTTCGCTATAAGCATTAAAAACGGTTTGGCAAAGGTGTTTGTGTTCGAATTGACTGAAGCGACGCAGTTACCCACTGTATCTTAGCCGGACGAGGTGTAGCGCTGCTGAGCTGGGTGTCATGGTTTCAGTGGCCGAAAATGGCAGCTGGAGATTTTTTTATGGTGACGAAATGCAACAGCGCCCGTGTACTAAGAGGTGCCCGTTAAAAAGCTGTCCGCGGCCGAAATTTCGGAAGCCCTTTAGTTTTCCGGGATGCGTAATTCTGTCCCCCCAAGGAGTCCCACAAACTAATCCTAGCTGTAGTAGTGATGCTGGCAAAGTAGTGAATAACGCGAACCAGTACAATGTGGGTTACTGATTCCTACCACCCCCTTTCCGTCTGTCATGATCCAATCATTAAGATGTCCTCGTCTTTCAGCTCAAACTCTACTTATCACGACAAACAACGTCCACGAACCGAGGCACCACCAGTATAGTTGCAGCACACTGGCGTTTTTAGCGTCCGTTAGTCACGCCATGGCCGTTGGCAGCAGTAGGTCGGCGGGTTTCCTTCCCGGCCATGGCAACCACATTTTGTCTGCAGCCGAAATGCGTTAACACCCGCGTAGTGCGATTTGAATGTGCAAGCTAAGGCACCCGACTCAAAATTAATCCGGAGTGTGATACGGCGTGTCCAAAAATCATATCGTGTTTTTGGCACGTGAAACTTCAGAAATTAAATTTGATGCTGAACACGCCGAATTAAAATTTAAAGCTAAACAAGCTAACTATAAATGCACGCGACTAATGGGCCCAGCACGCATTGACTGGAAAGATGCCTGTTGACATAATCATGATTCATGCATGCTTGTTTTTCATTCACAGAAAACCCTCTAGACTGCGACTGTCACGCACGCTTCCTCAACCAGATTCCCGCCAGCTGGACGGCACCGCCCTGTTCAACACCAGAGCGACTAAGAGGGCGCCTGGTCAAGAACATCGGCATCTCGCAGCTCATTTGCGCTCCTGCCAGCAGGCGCCGCTAACAAAGAGGAAAACGAGACCCCATAACTAATAGAATTTCTCATTTGTATTCAAAGATTTCACAATTGTGAGCATTGTGCTCTAATAAAATTAATTCGAACATTTTAGCATGGGTAGGGTGATCCTTGCAGCAAAAAAAAAATAAAAAATAAACTTACGATAGTGTTGTCACTTATTATCGTCGTCAGACTCATTTTATGGCCACCTAGTGCTTATAGTCTGACTGCATCGAAAAGAGGCCTGTATTGTGATTTGAATGGCAGCGAAGAGGTAAATAAAGAAAGCTGCAAGAAAAGACTACTGATATGTCGTTTTACACATTGTTTTATGCAAATGGACGAAATTTCTAAAAGTGTTTTCTTTCTCAGTTTCTAACGCAGTTCTGAAACAAGTGATAGATGAGCATGTCAATGCGTTCGATGGCATCTGACGTAAAACACTTAGCAATGAAACCATAGCCATTCAAGGTATTGAATGACTCTGGTGAAAAGAAACGTTGGCACTATCATGGTATGTAATAGTGTTCGCGACTCCGCTGTTATATAGCAATTGTGACATCAAATACCGCCTTTCTGAACACTTTCAATGGTCAAGACGCGATGGAGACTTGCGCGAACCGGGTGCATGATTCAAGTGCACTGATGAACGTCGTGGTGCTCCGGAGGCTTTCAAATTGTGCCCTCGAAGGCAGCTTTAGCGCCAATTTAATAAGCGCGAAAGACATGCGCGGCGAGAAAACCACTCCGAGACCCTAGTAAAGGCAAACAAAGAGCGCGTTTATGTATGGACAGACCGATAGAACATCAGCCTGCACTGCACACATAGCTGCCTGTACAATATTCGAAATTGACCGACTACTAACAAACAGCCCAACATTTCATGGAGGGAGGTCTCAGATCCCTTACATGTTACCGGGAGGGGAGTAGAGTGTTGACACCCATACCCCCCCCCCCCCCCGCCTTTCAGTAACAACGCAAAATACTCTCTCAGGAGAAGGTATAAACCAATGCCACAAGAGGTAGCCCTCTATCGAATCAAGTGAGTACTTTTAACGACACTTGCACCCATGTCAGAAGCCCAGACGCGTTCCTGAGGTGTCAAACCTTATAGAGCGCTGCTTAGGTGAGGGTGCCGTTCTTCGGAGGAAACCGACATGCGTGAGTCGTTAGAAAAGCAGCAGCCTGTTATGAACCGTGTGTAATGAAGTAAGCTTAGGAGCACTACAACACTAAATATACTGCGCTACTCGGACTTGAGTGATCTTTTGTTTGTTTTCATGAAAAAATTCCTGAAAACTCTTTCACTGACGCCACGGGTGAAATATATCGACTCAGACAAAGGACAAGCTATATCTTTTTATGCGGAAGGTTACGGTGATTTTACTGGAACTAATTAGAGCACGAATTGTACTCACACGTGTGGCATACGGAGGTCTGATTTATTCAAGTTGCTTCGACTGGCCTGTACCTATCGCGAATGATGACCTTGCGAGTCGTCATTGCCACATCGAGGTTATGGTATAAGGCGAGCCCCATAACAACATCACGCCTTCAGGAATTACAGGCTATGGAGATTATGAGCAATTATATAATAAACACAGCTCGGTAAAACTTCTCAAACGGGGTGTGTTATAGCAGCGCATAATTGGATATAACTTCATTCACGTCATTATTTTATGTTCTCCATATGAACACTCAATAATAGAATGAAAGAATCTGCACACAAGTCTTAGTTGCATATAAATATACAGGTATTGACGTCATGCATAACAAAACGAAAAAAGCACCGCGTAGTGTGAAGCTTTTCTTGTTTCCCCATGGGTTATGTCAGCCCAAATCGTACCTTTGTGCGGCGGTTGTACCAAAAAAGAATATCTCCACACAATCTTTTGCCGTGCCGCCACAGGTTTAGCGTCACGCTCCAGAGAATTAGCGATCTTTCATAGGTTCCCTTCAAATACACTTCTATACATCAGCCAACGCTTGCAATGCAAGCAATGCAAAGAGCATCTCCATAGTCTCTTTTCCAATCACATATTTACATCCACCCGAGTCACCATGCTGTGGCTGCGCAGAACTCGCAGTGATTTATCGCCAGCAAGGAAAAATATAGTAATGCGCATTGTTACATGTGGATACTTGTGAAGAAAAAAAATAAAGGAAAAGTAAGTTTGGCATTTGTACTAACTTGAGTCAAAGCATTACTATATTTTCACAAGCAGGCTTTTTTCAGCCTGCTTGTATGTTAGCTATACGTGCTACTTATACACGTCCCGCACATATGTTCCGTTTTCAGGCAACATTCGGTAACCGTTTGGCTCTAAAACCCTATCAATACTGGTATCGCAAGATATTCCAAGCCTCGACAAAACAGGACCAATAGTCTTGAACCACGATATTAAATGAAAATACAGAAGCATAAATCTACAGTTTGGTTTGCGAGGAGCATTCGCTTCCGGCCTGTTACCAGTCAGTATTGATAAAAGTTAGTCCTTCAAAGAGATCAATTCAGTCAACTATGAGCATGCTTAAATTGGGGATAATTTGCTAGTAATTTAGAGTGATCTTTTCGTCGCCAATTGCAACCCTGTATACTCCCATTTAGTCGTCCACACGGTACAACACGCACGCCTAATTTATTTGTATGTCTCAAAAGTACCGGTGAATAGGCGCCACATGGCGCTAAGCGCGGCATCCACTTCAACATCATGTATTCCTTTGGTTGTGCTCATAATTGACGTTTTACTATACCGCTAGATTTTGCTGACTAAAACTGAATTCGCGCCGCCACGTCTCCCTTTCTCTCCATCGCGAGCGTGTCCCAGGAGTCCACACGCTCGATCGCCTCCTGCAGCGCAGTTCGCGCCGTACAGGTCAAATCTTGTATTGCCCAGTCGGTTACAGCGGGGCGTCGTCGTCGTCGTATGTCTCGACAAACTCCTCCTCGTGCGTCTCGGCGTTCTCGGCTGTGGTGCTCGACTCGTCCACGTTGCGGCGGCAGTCGGTCTCTCCCGTGGGAGACGTCATGTTGCGCTCTTCTTCCTTGCGTGTCGTGGTCCGTTTGATGGTGGTCTTGCCCTGGATGGTGCGCTTTTTGGTCATCTTTACTCGCCGAAGTGAGCCCATCTGCAGAGGTGGGAACGCCGCACTTATCCCTGGCACGTGCGTACTGTCCTGCAGAGGGCAAATGCCAGTATGAGGAAGCCCGCTCGTAATATGGCCGGAAAACACTAGCACAATCAAAGTGAGACGCTTATATTCATAAACGACCAATTTATGTCCGTTCGTCCCTGCACTATGGGGGGGGGGGGAGGGGGGGCTTTGAAACCCAAAGAAAATTAACAGCAGAATGCGGCTGCTCCGAAGCGTACGCATTGATTTCATGAAAGCGTACATCGTTCAAAAGGTTCATAATATCTAGTAAAACCATTGCTTTTAACAGTAGTAATTGTCGGTGCCACAGTATTGCAGTGATTGCTTCATTATTCTTTATGAGAAAACAATATATTTACTATTACTGACTGCTAAAGAGCTGATCAAATTATTTTCAAACACGTTATGTTGAAAAAGTTGTCGTCTTTTGATTTCGTAAAATAAAGAACTTTTCAACTTTTAGACATTGTCTTTATCTTTTCACAGGGTCACAAGCAGTGCGCTAGAAGCAATTTTCGGGTAACTGAAGATGCACGCATACTTTTACGCAATCGAGTGATGAAAAGAATGTTGCAAACTTGGTAAGGAATTTCATCTTTAGAGCATGGAACTCAATTTTCTTTGGCATTTTGAGCATTACTATAGCGTAGGTCATTCACAACATTTAATACGTGAGTACAGAGAGAGAGAATTTGTTTACAGAAACATTCAGTAAACTTTAGGATGGCTGACCTTAACAAAATCAATAGTGTCAAAGGTGCCAAATTTTGTTTTATTCTTTAACATATTAGAATCAAACTTGTGCCACCAGGAAGATAACTTTACTGACAATTTTGGCACCGATTTTAGATTCTGACCAATACTCTCTTGTAAAGTAATAGTAAGCAGAAGTCTCACCAACCATACTATTTTATCTGAAAGTACATTCACCGAAACGTATTAGATCATTTCTTATTGTTTGACATTTTAAAAAGGTTGCAGCCAAAGACTTTCAATCCAGACATTTTTAACAATTTTTGCTATGAGACAATGATAACTGTAGCAATAGAAACACGGTATATTATTCGTCATAACACGGTGAACAATCTGTGGACCTTTTTAAGAGAATTGACCATGCACATTGTTGCCACGTGCGTTTCTTATTGTTATTTTTGTTTCATTTCGTGTTCACTAAAAAAACCTGTTAGAAATGCTCAGCGCAAACTGCGCCTCATTGTTCGAAAAGGTTCGCGATTATTGTACGTCATTCTGTCAAGGGGGTTTGGCAGGGCACACGTATGTCAGTTTTTACGTATTAATATTTTAGAAACTGCTGTGAGTATTCACACTAAGAATACCATTGGTTATGACGTGACACCCTTTTTTATGTCTATAGATTGCCTGTCCTTCCTATGGCCCGCTGCCAAATTTTAAAATGGGTTATGCAATTTTAAGGTGCGTTCTGCATTACAATCCTTTTCTCTGCAAGTACCGAAAGGAGTGTAATGAAATGTAATGATATTCAGCCATTTTATTGTAGACTCTCAAACGTTATGTCTGAATTAAAAAAATAAGACATCCTTTATGGAAATTCTGTGAAAAAATATAAAATTCCTGCATTCACAAAGCCACAGGGAGTGCGCTTTGCGGTTTGATTTTTTATTGCTTCAGTTTTTACAAAATCTGCTCATATTTTATTTGAGATTGTTTGCTGCATGCTGTAGTTTATGCACGCAGATTAAATAAAATTGATACGAAACATTTTATAAAAGGCACATTGACGTTCAAATAATTTAAGAAACGCTATTCAAGAAAGACGAAGTTTTGCGTGTGGACACTGCTTACGCCAGAGGGCGAACAGCGCATTTTGGTGCGGCATTTAAATCACTTGGAGAGGCGTCTCGACGTCGCGCTTCCGCCGGTTTGTTCCTCAGAGTGCAGTAGATTTTTCGGTGTCAGAATTGCAAAATCAATTTTTTTTGGCTTACTCCACCGTACTGCCTTCAGAATGCGCGCAAGGCGTGAACACTACAGATTATTCCAGAGTTTGCGCGACGACCAGTGATAAGGCTGGAATATTCGACAGCACATGTGTAAATGCCGACGCGCTTCGCCGCTTGTCAGTTGATCGATGACAGACGCACTATTCGCCGCTATCAGTGCCACT